AATAATTGCTGCTCTGAAAAAAAGTGTGGCCTTTTTAATAATTAAGCAGTACAAAAGTAAAGAGCCGTGACAGAGGGCATTGTATCTTGCTTTGGAAGTGGAAGCAAGCGTGTGTAAACAAGCACGTTGCTTAACGTACAAAGCATACTCCTTAAATGTTCATGTTTATTACAAAATTTTACAAGGTGTTTATCCTTAGCTTCATGTTGTGAGATTTTATTTATGTTTATTTTATGTGTTAGATCTGTACAGTTCTAATTCTAGCAAGAATCCTGAAACCTGGGAGTTAGGTCTGGCTCTTCTTTACTGCAGTGCAGACACACTGACTTTACCATAGCTTCAAAGAAGGCTTCCCTAGATGATTCAGATCCATTCCATAATTATTCTTTTGATGCAAGTGAAAACACACATGGTTGTTCCTGGATCTTTTTAGATATATTTTCTCGATTTATCATAAACTTTGCCTTACCGGATGAACACACATAACGGACATATCTTCTTAGGTATGTCCTTCCAGAACTACTCAAAAAGAAGATTTTTACATTATGTGGTATAAAAAAAATTCAGACTAAATTTTTATATACACTGAAATCAGTAAGTTACTTTGAAGACATGTGCGCATTATTAGGTCACATTCTAAAGGTTGTGGCGGACATGGACAAAAGCTAGTTAAAAGACAGTGGTAATATCCAGAAAGCTTGAAGAAAAGGGTACAAGCAGTGTACCTTTCAGTTAGACATTTGGGACACAGGTCATCACAACAGTGATAGAAAAGGTACCACGTTAGACACACCTCCTTCACATCATTTAAGCCTTTTGATCTCTTTTAATTTCTCTCTAAAGAAAATTACCAGTACTACCTACTCCACTTTTTTTTTGCACTGGTTTCCCATAGGATCCATTGGGTTCTAGGCGCACTTGAATTATTAAAACAAAAAGTCACTGATTGGCTGTTGAAAAGGAAAGAGAAAAATCTTTGACTACCCAGTGTTTTGTCTGTAGCTTTTCCTTTATTCCTTTGATTCAGTGATTATTTGGCAGGGGATTGATCAATTCATAAACTCTTAGTTAGCAAGTCTGCTTGTAAAAGTACCAATACCTGGAAGCAGACTATTATACATATGTTTTCTCTCAAGTTTTCTGGAGAATATGCTGGTTCTTCACCCTGTTGTGGGAACAGTAGACGTTTCTTTTTGTTCTAGGTGATCTAGAGTACATTTATTTAACAAGCTATTTTTGTTACATAGCTTCTCAGCAAAAACCTTATCAATATTATAATTAGCAGAACCAGACCTTGGAATTTAACTCTCCTCTATTCAGATAACTAGCAATTACACAAATAATACTCCCACGAGGCAGAAATTTGTCACAGCTAGAGAAAGAGAAACTCAAACCCAAGAGCAAACTAGAAAGTAGAGATAAGGATTTCTGCAAAGCATATAAGTATCTAAAATAGATGACACTGTGTTTTCCTTGTTCCTGGTTCTTTAGCCTGTCAAGGGCTGAAACCATTCAGCCGCCTCCCCACCAGCTAAGAACTTCCAAGTCGAATGAACAAATTCACTTTAGACCTCTCTTTCAATGCTCAATGCCATCTTCCCTCCCCCTCCTTAAAAATGAGAACACTCGTGAATAATTTACAGTGTCTGGAGTGTTACTTTAAATACGTTAAATTTAATATAAATTTAAACTGAAAATCAAAGCAGATTTCTCAAAATACAAAAGCCAATGTTATTTTGACTGTTCATTGCTGTTATTTAAAAGGAGATGCTCAACATACATATTTGGAACAAGCCATATGAGATACCAGAATCAGTCTAGTACTAAGGCAACGCGACACCCTACAGACCAAGTCCCATTTTTGGGATACTAACAGGCAATCCTAAAAAATCGGTGAGGCATCCAATTTACCAAGACATTATCTTATCCTTTGTAGATAGAAATATTATTTTAAACAGAACAGGTCACACAAGTAACATTCCACATAAATGATTCATGTACCAAACACACAATAAACTGAGAAAAAAAATTTATTCTATAAATGAAACATCTGGGCCCCAAATATTTGTAAACAGTTCAAACTAAGGCTGAAATCTGAACACATTGTCCAAAGTCACTGGAATGTAAATCAAAATTACAAAGAATCCTGCAATTCACTGCACATTTGTCTAACATTTCTCTCTCATACAAAATCTAAAATGTTCAGAAAAATTTAAATGAAACTACAACATTTCTGATAAGCATAACATTCAGTTTCCAGAATGATTAAGCTAATATCTAACCTACATGCAGTTTCTATAGGTCAATCAGTCCAGATATATAAATTGATATACTCTCTACCTCACTCTACTAGCTGTATATGTATATACAACAGGAGTCCAAAGATTGATCTACCAAAATACATGTTTTAGGGAAAATCCTTTGATACGTAATATTTTGTTTCATACTACATTGAAATTAAACATGTTTATTCTGGTTTAAACTGCTCCTTTTTTGGTTTAAAAACTGAAAAGTCACTTTCAAAACAAATATTTTAAATCCAGAATTAATTCAGAAGTAAGGAGAAAATAATATTTCAGTATTTTTAATGACTTTTTATTTCCAAATTAATTCAGAGGAAAGGAAGAGGTATGTTCATTTTGTAATAAACTTTAACATATACAAAAATAAAGTGCACAACTTTAGGTGAAAAATTCAGATCTAGCAAAAATGGTTTCGATAACACTTAGGTGATAACAGGTCTGAAGTCACTCTTTCAAGATATATTTTTCTATTACAAATATGAGGTCCACTTAAATGTATTTTGTTTCTGTAATGTATACAGCCACATTCATAATATGAACACATGTAAATGGACAATATGGGCCTAGAATTATGGCCACATATTTACAGATTTAGAATATCTATAGTAAAGTCAATTGATGAGGATTCACATTATTGTATCTGAGAGCAAATTAGACTCATTCATTGCTACTGGCCTGCTCACTAAATATTTGATCGACCTGTTAGAAATAGCTTTAAAACTTTATGAGTCATAATGGTGTTTTCTTAATAGCTACTTCAGTTTACCTTACATGTGTGGACTTTTTTTTTAAATAAGATTTTAACTTTACATATTATGGGGTAAACCCTACCCCATCTGCAAACTAATATGTCTGGTGTTAGTTGCAGCTGACAGAACAAGGTTTGGTACAGCACATTCACAACAGAATTTGATGTGTTGTATTCTATTAGGGATTATCATGCTATCAGCATGATAGCAATGGGACCTTACTGAGTTCATTTTTAATGAGATTTATAAATTCATTGTTTATACCAAGAACGTTGATTTTACCATTTAAAGCATCCATGGTTCCTATATGTATTTCTGCTTAGGGAGGAAAGTGTTAAAGTCCATCACTTGCATAATATTTTTAAAGCTGTACAGTACCATACATCTTAACAATCTTGGAATTTTAAGGAGCTGTCTCAAAGTAAGCAAACAAAGCAGAATTCTTCTCTGCTCTTACTAGAAAATTACATCTGTGAAACATCTGATTCAATGCTTATCTTTGAGTAGTTGCTTATGACAGAGGTCATTGTATGTTTTCTAATGTTTTAAAACTTCAGTCAAGATAGACCTCATAGTTAAATGACGAGATCACAAGGAAGAAATGTTAAGGCAGACACTCCTTAACCTGTATACTTAAGGGGAGAAAAAAGTAGCCACCATTTATGACTGCTTGAAGCAGGACATGTTTCTCAGACACAGAAAATGCAGAAGGCAATCACAGCTTAGCAATTTCCTGGTGCCTTTCATCTAAACACCACATAATACTAAATAAACATTAATGAATTAAGCTGCTTAACATATCTACAAAGTAAGTACAGTAAAGAAGAAATGTACTTACTTTTTTGGCAGATGTCCTAGTACTCTAAAGTTGCTGATCATAAAATGATCCAGAGCAATAGTTGCAAGCCATCAAGAAAAAAATACATATACTTTCATAATCTACAGAGTGCTTTGTGAGAAGCTGGGGGGGAAACACTCTCAAGACATTGCTGGTTAAGTAATTTTAAATGTATATGGTTTCTTGATGAAAAGAAAAAGGCAAATTTTAAGTGGAATGGTCATTAAAAAAATAAATCTATTTTAAAATCATCTCTATTCTTTATGTTGTTATCCATTGGTAAAATCTCCTTTTGCCAACTCCAAGAGCTCCTGAAAGTCCCATTTCACAGTTTTAGAAATACAGGAGTAGTTAGAAAAACAGAAAAATGGAAATTCAAGTTACCATTAATTTATCTGTTCTGATTATTTAGTGTATGCATGCACAAATTTTCACAAAAGTAGTAGCTTGAATATTAAAAACATGTCTGGACATGCTCACTTCCAGTTCTTGTAAGGCTTGGAAAGGAGGGAAAATTATCAGTGTGTAATGATTTTAAATCTTATGTGGATACCTTCACATTGATGATGTGTGTTTGATTTAATAAAGATTTTTCTAGAATTCTCTCAATTTCTTTAGGAAATTTCAGTAAATGTAAATAAAAGACTTGTCTGCAAGTGTGTATTCTCTAAGGGAGCTCATCTTTATACAGCATAAGAATGTCCTCTGACATCATTCCAAGCCACTATTTGAAAATTTTCTGAAGAATTTCCTCAGCTAAACACAGTTATGTATTTTCACAATTCTGTTAAAAAATAACAGCAGTTAAGAACTGGACTCAGATTGTAACAGGTCTTTCATTTCCAAAGTATATACTTGCAGCTTTAAGCATTATTTTTCTTGTAATGCAACAAATGGATGAGATGAAAGCATTTCTTAAAAAGAATGCAAAATGTTCTAACTGCAGAAAAATATCAGCAATAAAACATTATTAGAAGCATTTAACATCAGAGCACCAAATTCTTGGCTTCGTTACCTTGATTCAACTATATTAAACAAGACAATAACATTTTGTTAGATAGCAGTGATAAGGTCTGTTGACGTGTCTTGGCAGGAAAATAAAATAAAAAGTTACCTTTGCAAACCACTGAAACAAGTTTGCTCATTCTGTTTCTTTGCTCCTACAAACCACGTGTTCATGGTTTTAAATAAATAAGTCATAAATAACAATAGGACTAAAACTAAATAAAATTGTATATGTATTATCTTATTGTGTACCTATCATCTTGATTATTTTTCAAAGGTTTTGGCTCACATTTATACAAAGCTCTCTTCCATATTTGTGCATAGCAGAAAGGAATCCACAAGTCTGGGCTTTACTAGCTGCTGAAAATCTGAATCTTCAAGTCCATCAGGACTCATAACTGCTAGTCTCCGTAAGGCTGCCTAGAAAAACAAAACAACACAATTGTAATACTGTTAAGGTTTGACAAAGTCTTCATTGCAGCAATCCATTATAACTATCCCTAAATAATAGCCCAGACTCAAAACTGAACTGTGCAGGTCTATGGACTCTTCTACCTGGCTAATCTCTCGTTACTGTCTTCATCTGTCAGATGAATCTCCCCTCAAATGCAGCTATTAAATGACAAGTTTTTTTGGGCACCTTTGTCTTAGACCTGAGCAGCAGGGACAGTGTGGTGCTAAAGAACACACAGGTGAGAGTCAGAACACTTTGACTGTAAACCTATCTCTGATCTGCTGCTCATCTCACACTGCCTCTTTGTATCTCAACTCTCTTCTCAGCTTTCATATTTATGAGAACTATAAGCCATCTGATTCAGAAAATGTCTGCTACTGAAGTTTTGTGCAATGCCCATAGCAGAAATCTTTTAGATACTAGTGTAGCAGAAAGAAGCCGTACATTTCAAACAATTTGGGAACAAATAAAACTGCCAGTTTTTCCGATTATGAGACTGTACAATACAAATTGCATTGATGTTACTATTACCTTCTCAAACTCTTCCCTTCTAAGAAGTTACTTGTTTTTCTCACTGGAGAAAAATATACAACAATTACATACCTTCTAGCAACCTGACACGACAGGTGCAACTGGAAAGCAGACTGGCTTTCCTCAAGAACAAAAATTGTCTTCTATTAGTAAGGGTCTGATAGTTGTGATCAGCTTATCTCTCTGCTGTTTGTCAGTGCAGCACTAACACAAGAGTTAATCGCCTGCTTCAAGATATACAAAAAGTAAACAACCAAGCTAAAAATACCAAACAGTACAAGCCCTCAGTCTTCAGAGGCAATACCTATCAGAGCCTGAAGCAGCGTATGTCTCAAGGACTGTATTTTTGCCACGTGTTAATCAGAAAGTATCATCAGGCAGTTACTAAAATATCAGGAGAAGCAGAATTGCTGAGGCAGACAGGCAGGTAACATCTCAAGCGATAGGCATGAATTCAAGGAATGTGCAGTAACAACTTCAGCGAGACAGAAGAATCACAGTCTGGTTTGCTGCCATCACTCTGTGGCCTCTGCTCTAGCCATACAAGATTAACAAGCCTTCTCGGCATGTATGAAGAATAGCCACAGCATTTCTTATGCTCACATTCATACTCTCTTGATCCTGAATGAGTCCTGCTTAAACGAACAAAACTTCTGATGTGCTGGTACAAAGCTAGCTGTTAATGAAAGCTGCAATAACCAAGTTTTATTTTTACATTTAAAATAACATTAACACTAAAAAGCACTGCCAAACAGTATTCTTCAGTCTTCATTCATCAAAATCTATCTCCTAACCCTAAATCACCCATGTCCCCAGAGCACTTTCCTGTCACAGAACACTAGGTGAAATGCCTCAACTCTGACAGTTGGCTGCGGCTCACAGTCCATGCAGTGCAGGACCAGCAGCTGGGATCTTTCTCCTAAGCAGAGAAAGTGTTAACCTTCTGTTGGTCACTCCTTGGCTGGACACTATATTGTCTTGGAGACTCAAATAGAAAAAAATGGATTGTAGCGAAAGCAAGAAATCTCCTTTCCTCTCTTTGGCCACTTTACATAAATATTTACATACATATGCGTGTGTGCAGATAAAGGGCTGCTACCCCTGTGATTCAAGGCTCATCTTGGCAAACATAGCATCATCAGAGAACAGAATTTAAGAATTACTGAAATGTTAAATTCCGAAGTGTTTCAGTGAAATATTTTAGTGCTCAGTAATGTGAAGATGAAGCCATTTTTCCTTATGTGCTTAAATCTTCAATCAGAGGATAAATAATTGACACTGTACAGAATTATGCTTAAGGAGAAAGGCAGGAGACCCTAGCATGACTTTAAAACATTCCTGGAATACTTATGTATTTTGAAATCTAAAGGGCTGTTTTTTCTGCATTTTTCAGGTTAAGCATAATAAGAACAAGATAATAATAATATAAGAATAATAATAATAAGAAGAAAGATTAAAATGTACCTACCAGACATGCCACTAAAACAGAATCACTGTTATTTCTTTCAGTTGGTGATCTGCAAAGTTTAATTAGGCGAGGAATACCTGAGTGCACAAAAGAGTATCAGGAGAAATAATTTAGAAAAAAAAACCTTCTTATTTTGAGATGAGGTCTTTTTTTAGATGTTTCATATTTATCTTCCTCAGTAGATATGACCTCTAATGCAAAGATGATATGCAAATACTTAAGGGACTGTCCATAGAGCTATGCAGTACAGAGCAGTCATAATTAATAGTTGTAAAGCATAAACAAACAAATACATTGTTTTTACCCACTCTTGCTCTTTCAGAGTGGAAATTGTGACCTCCATTTCTTCCCTATCAATCCTCCCACATGCCCTTAAAAAACTCCATCCAAAAGAACTTGTTGCTTCCCATTAGATTCATCACATCTGAACCTGCAGGGGTCCAAGTTTTCTGTCCACTGACAGATCCTGCGCAAGGGTTTAAATAAAGGAATGGAGGAGGCAGCACTGTCAGTTGGCACAGTCTGCAACAGCTGTGTGTTGAGTGGACACTGCACCTCAGCTTCCTCTGGGAAATGAGCCAAAGGTTCATTTAGCACAACCTCCTCAGTCACTCTCTGGACAGACAGTATTGGGAACCTATTCCGTAAAGTGTACCAAGTGAGGCTAAAATTAAAAAGAGCTTCTCCATGACTGGCAGTTCCTCCCTCTTTTTCGGTCTGCCATTAAGCTAGTGATACATCCTTACAGCTGAGTTTTATGGCTGCATCTGCCACTTCAGGATCTCGGCTGAGTCGTGCCAGCGTAACTGCAGATTTCTGTTGGACTCGCTCACAAGCAGCAACTTCTGCTGAATTTCCTGAGGATGATCTTTCAAAGAGCATTTCCATTAAAAGTTGAACACCTAGAAGGATGTAAGAGCCATTGTTATCCTCTCTCCAACAAAAAAACTCAGTCGAAAAAAGTAAAGGGAAAAAGCAAGCTAGATGAATACAGACCAATCACCACCCAAATAGGGCATGAACAATACATAAATGTGAACTGCAATTTGACCATCAGCATTCAGACACATCTGATCTGTGCATGTTTGTCTTACTAGGAAGCTACAGAACTTCTGGAACTAGAAAATGCACTAACTCTTCCCTTCTCCAACTTATTGACTCCTCTACAAGTTGGTATTTTAGATTTCACAAATTTATTTCAGTCAAATTAAATGCAATTCTTTATTTGCTTCTAAACTAACCTGAAGGTAATCACTAACCTAAAAACCTGTAGTGACATATTTCAGGTGTCTGCATGAAGTTTTGCTTTGAATTAAAGGAAAGTAAAACTTTTTTTTTCAGTTTCTATATTTTTAAGCAAGCCTTTAAAAGTTCCCATCTCAAACTGTTTAAATGTATTTTAGAATGGGTAATCCTTTAATGAGGGAAATGATGAAATTCTGCCTCTTGAAGTTTACTGTGTGACTAACTCTTCACTGCAGAAGAGACAATGTCATCCATGTCGAAATGGTTTCATTAACTTATTGTTGCCTGTAGGAGTTGATATTCTTATTGTAGCAACACAAAAACAGATGAGACTGTACTGATTTCTATTTTCTACATTATTTTAAATGTAAAGACAATTATGTGCTATTAGACTTCATATGCTATTAGGCATTCAGATTACTTCAGGTAGCATCAGAGGATTTTAACTGTTAGAACATTTGCATAAATAATTAAGAGAATTAGCATCAGAATCATGCAGCTAGATAATAATCAATCGACCTACAAAAAAGTCAAAGTTGAGAAGAAAATGTATCTAAACTCTCCAGGATTCAAAGACCTTTCTCAGTTCGTTAATCTGGTTTCTGACCAGCATCTGATTATTAGAACATTAGGCAGACACAAAAAGCCTTTATACACAAGATGAGTGTCAAACTTTCTCAAAAGCCTGGGGGCAAATGCTTCTGTGTGAAATCCCATTACAGAGCGTATACACAAACTTTGCTTCATCACATTGTGCTTGACAATCCACATGTACGTCTCCACCGACTGTGGTATCTAGCATGAGCTAGGCCTAGTTGGCATAGCTGTTAGTATAATTTTGTGAACTTCAATCAAATTTCTGCTGTAGTAGATGAAATATGATCAAACACCTGTCCCAAACAACAAAACAGTTTTTGGTGTGCTTAAGGAAATGGATAGCCAAACTACATAACCAATCTGTTAATCAGAAAGGAGTGCAAAAGCTTCCAGGGCGTATCTGGATTGAGTGCTAACAACAGCAAATCAGAACACAACAGCACAAGTCAAACAGACGAATCACCAACAGGATATTCTCTACCCAGTCCTATAATTACAGACGCCTAGGGTCCTGGGAATTGTCAGGGTCTTACCAAGAGTTTCTAGAAAAGACTGGGTAGGGAAGCCCCATGTGCCTGCACCAAGAGGTCCAGGACCACCTCTTCAGCCTCCAGGAACACAGGGAGCTTGGACTAGGACCATCGCAGGACCCACCATGTGGACCTGACCATCCTCTCTCTGAGACTGCACCATCCCTCCCGTGCAATAAGAGGGACATATAAGAAACCACCATGCTAACCTGCCTTGCTCCTCCCCCTCACTGCACTGTCTTCTGCATAGGACAGGGAATTCAGGTAATATGTAAAATTGCATATATCTGTGATTAAATTACTTCAGTATGCAGATCCATTCAACCTCCACATTGTCATTTGGTCTCAAACTGCAACACCTATCCACCTTAGCAAGGACATCAAATGCACACTACCTCTGTGCACACGTGGATCACATCAAGCAAATCAGTTGTGCCTGATGCTTGCCAGTCATATTTGTGTGCACAGAGCTCAAATTTTCTACTGAAATGCAAGAAACATCTAAATCCAATATTACATAGGAATCGGCCGATTCTATTTCAAGACGTGCTTCTATGTAGATGCTTTCTGAAACCCCTTCTCCCACCTATAATCAGCCATGTCTGAGATTCAAATGGATCCAAACTCATACCATTCCTATCCAAACCTTAATTTTAAAAGTGTGGAAGGGCTATTCCTAGGACAGAAAAAGCAATATATGTGAAGCTTCACTGTAATTTAATATCTCCCAGGAAAAGGAAAAAAAAAAAAAAAGCAAAGCTGTCTTACTATATTGCTTGGCCATGAATTTACTGGTAGATGTATTAATAAGGCAGTTACGTCTTCCTGTATCCTTATCCACAGAATTATTAACCTAACTTCTCAGACTTCTGGTGGGCCTATAACACCTAGGGATTTTTCAACATAATGAATTTCTCATAACATGATATTTAAACAAATGTGGAAAAAACCTGGCAACTGCTGTATAGTAATAAAAACATAATGCTTCAAAATTTATAATATTTCTGAATACCTGTGAAAAAAGTGACACAAAATGCAGGTATGCATGGCTCAGTGTCAGATGATGTCTTTCAATGTGTAAGAATTGCCACTTGTAAGAATTGCCACAATGTGATTACCAGAATAAAGGTTGTTAAAACACTTTGTACTACATTGCTTTGTATCCATGAATAAGTCACACACACAGAGAGAACATCAGCAACATGGTCATACATGCAAAGTTTTCTAAAGCAGTGGTAATTTATTTCAGTTACATAGAACCATCCCAAGGACTCATTTTGCACCCTGCAGCAATCTGCAAGATCCAGCAGAGACAGGATGCAAAATGAAGTCTTATTAGTGAAGCCTTTCTCCTTTACCTTGTAGCCACTCCTGTCCCACCTACCCACATTCTCCACAAACAAATACAGAATGTAATTCAGTTAAGATACATACCATTTCCTTGAATGATTTCTGAAGCACACTGGTCCAAGACAGACATGTTTGCCAATATTGTTACCACCTGTTATTAAAAAGAGAAGGAAATATGAAGTATAGCCCTACAATTCAGTAATATTAAATAGCACTGTGGTTTATAAAATTAGTATGGCAGAAATATGGCAAACTCAATAAAATCAAAAAGCATTCTTGTCTATTCCCACCTTTGTGATTTCTCAGGGGTCTTTATCTTATATATGGCTGCTCACTGAAAACCAGACAAGAAAAGTAATATCTCTTTTTCTCGCACTCCTGTACTCATGCATGAAAGTCTGTCATATAAAGATCTATGCAGCAGATTTGTTCAGTGGTCAAATTGGTAGAAAGAAGATGATAAAAATTTATAAAAACCAACCAACCAAAAAAACCCTGGAGACCTACAGAGTTCAGCCAGGAGCTGCCCACCCTCAGGAACCAATCCTGTAGGCACATTCCAGCTCAGGCAGAGCTCAGAGTGAAGGCTAAGAACCAGCACATAGCATATATTCGGTAGCACTGTTATTGCTAGCTTTCTGCTTCAGGGTTCAGCTGAAATGTTGAGAAATCCTTGCAACAGTTTTGGAGTTTTGAGCCTTGATTCAAGGGAGTATTTAAGGAATACTTTTCAGTTTTATTGAAGCCGTAAGTTGTGTGCATGTCAAAGAACTGTCCCAAAATGAGCTGGATTTAAAAATCTGTTTATACATTTCCTGAACTAAGGCCAAGATTAGGTTTTGTACCAACAGAAGCACATTTTGAGATCCTGATTTACAGCATTTCTTATCCAAAATAGCACTAACTGTTTTCAAGGTTAGGTGTAACTCACTTTGCTTAAAGTGAGGCAGCAAGCTGTTGACAGAGACTGGATCATGCAGAGCTGTTGGCTTTCAATCACCCATTCCCTTCATTGATATCATATACTTTCTCTCATACATCCTGCAAGATATTCTTTTTTACTTTATCCTTCAAATAAGTTGCTTCCTGCATGCAAACACATCTCAATATTAACAGCATATGTGAAAGACCAAATAATAAATGTTATAAATCATTAGAATACAAAATAGAAATAATATTCTTTCTTAAGAGGTTTTAATTTTCTCTATTCTAGTTGAGAAAAACTGATCAGCCTCAAAAATAACGACCAGTTTGAGAACTGGTTATCAGCTTTTCAACAGTACAGTGTCAGTTCCCAAACAAGCAAACTTCTTAGATGTAAGTAGGCATGAGATCAGATCACCATTCTGATCTCACTTTGCCATTTTAATAACAAGGATGACTCATTTTCGATGCTGTGACATAAAGGTCTTCCACTTTTGAAGGTAGTGTTACAGTGTCATCTCTCTGAATAAATATACTTACTTAGGATGCAAATGAGTTGCTGAAACTCTAAAGAATGACAGGTAGAAATACGGTAACTCAGTATATGTCTATGTATTTATTCCATATTAATTATTAACTGTGTTTCAGGCAGAGTGTATATGTTTTCTCATTCTAAATTATATCCTGTTAATGAAAATTGCTTCCTCTATGCAGAATCTGTACCCCATGTGGCTCTCTAAGCCACAGATGAAGAATTCAATTAACCACAATTTGAATACGTGCCAATTATTCCACTGCTTCAAGTTATTTTGTCTAATAAGTATTTTCATACATAAAAATATTTTGTGTGTATCTTTTGACACCAAAAATTATTTGAGGTTATATCTATACTTCCTTTGCGTTGATTATGTGTCCCCCTATATTTTGCAATGTATTTATGAACTAGTCTAATGGGTTTATATGTAACCTTCTCCAGAGGGCTTTATAAAAGACCCTTATCATCAAGTTTTACCTATATTATCTTTTAAAATCTTAGTAGGACTTGAAAGGCAGCTAAACTATAGATTAGCTCACTTCATATGGATAGATTTTTCTTTCCCCCAAAAAGTCACATTTTCCTGTGACATAAACAACATAACATGAAATAGCATAATGTAAACACATAATAGGCAAGCTGAATAAACAGTTGACTTTAAATGCTATATTTCTCCTATGCTTGCCTATTTTAAAATTCAGTATACATGCAGCTTACACAAAAATTTCCTCTGTAATACAGACCAAAGTTTAAGGAAGTTTAATACTAGAGATGAACTCTCTAGAGGAAAACACAAACTTAAATGTAGACTCAATTTGCATTGAAAAACAACACTTCCGTGAGCACTGGTATTAATGAAGTCTCATTTCTTTTCAATTTAGAGTTGATCAAAAACCATGAACAGAACTTTTCCAGTGGCATCTCTCCCACTGTCGATTTTTTTTGTCTAATGATACATAAGCTCATGCTGCAGTCTTTATCTTAGCCTCTCTTTTGCCATTATCTGGCTCCAAATTTCATAAAGCCTTAGGCAGTCTCTCAAAAATAACTGTGAAGTCCTGTTGAATCAGCAAACCAGTTCAGATATTATTGTGAAACGTGGAGCACACAAACAGATACAGATAAAAGCGACTGCCTAAGGCTCATTTCCACCAGGAAAACATGAAAATTACTGGAAAAAGTAGATACCAAAACCTCTTTCAAAATTGAAATAATTTTGAAAGAATTGAAAGACTTGCAAATATTTAACGTGGAATCTCTACTGTTCAACTGCAATATTTAGTATCAATTTCATTAATTGTTCAAGACATTTCTTGTAAAAGATTACACTCCAAGATTATAAAGCACTAGCACCTGAGACAATTCATGATTCTTGCTATTTTTCTGGATTCCTAAGCTATGCAATGAACTTGTAGTCAGCTCAAAGTATAAAAAAGAAGATATCCTGAATACAGGACACATGAGCTCTGATCATCGGCCAGTGCTATCATACCACGCAGGAAGTCTGTGCGGAAGCCATGCACAAATTCCAGTACCCTAGTGATATCTTCATATGTGGGATCTGCAGATGTGCTATTAAGCAAAGACTGTCAGAGATTTTCCTGAGAAAAAAAAAAGGAAGTTGCTTCATCATATGTGGAATTTTTTAATGAAACATCTGGTCTCACATTCTATTGCCAAACCTAATGCAGGATTATAGTGGGCTGCCTTAGAAACCTTATGCCGCAAGAACTGATCCCATCCAGCATAATTCCCTGCCTCAGCACCTGTATGTCTGCTAGGCAGATCTGTTCTGGAGCTAGATCTTGATCCATGCATCTCCAATATCTGTATTCCAGCAGAGCTCTCCAATAGACTACCCCAGGCTAGTCCACACTCTGATCTCTGTTATCCAGATCCGTCAAAAATTGCAAGTGCTTCTCTATGGCAGGACTCTGATAAACCTGGTGGCTGCAGCTTTCTCTGTGGGAACTAGCAGCCCTAAAACCACTGTAGTAATGAACACCACAGAAAAACAGACTTAATCAACAAATAATGAACTAATACATTTGTTTGCCACCAGATGAAAGCTGAATTATTCAAGTCAGTGTCACATGATTTACACTACTAAAAACAACCAGAGGAACAGGCCTCTGGGGTTTATCCCTGCATTCACCACCTACCTGATAATATGTGCTATGCACTACATGCCTAAACCATGTAGTAGTGAGACACAGTAAAACACAAAATGCCAGGAAGAGAATTCTCAGACCAGCTCATGTTTTAGCACCTTTTGAAGAGGCACCAACTTATGAAAATATTAACATGCAGATAATTCTACTGGGACTAGTAAGATTTTTCACAAGACTAAGAGACTAAGGAGTTAGCTTTCAAAGCTTAAAAAACCGTACCCAAACAATAAGTTTGAAAGTTCACCTTTAAATGATTTGTTGGTGAACTAAATAAGCAGCGATATTTGAGAGGGAGGGGAATCCCCTTTAGATCCGTGGAAAATTTCCTTTTTTAATAAATAAACTTTAAAATAATAGAGATATTTCATATTTTTCAAATGTCAGTCCAGCATCTGCTAGTCTCGCAGCTGCCCTGGAAATTAATCTAGAACCTAACTAAATATCTCTATTTCTATAGGCAAAATAAGTAAACAGATAGTAAACACAGATACCTCTCTGTAGTGACAATATCATCTATTATTATGAAATTGGCAGTGTTGATCTTATTGGTTACTCTAGTAAACAAAATCTATTTTTATAATTTGAAAAGTGTTTTTAGTTCCATATAGTTTCCTTCCACTCACCCAGCCTTTCACACATACTGAATTTATGAATGATGAACGCTCTTTTTCAGTTCTGTAATCTGCTTTGCACTGAACCATAGGAATTTCAGTTGTCAAGAGTGATTTAAATTTGAGAAACCATGGTTAATTAAGAACCTTTAAAATAGTTTTGTTCAAAACCTCTTGACGAACAACAGTCAGCTTGGAAATTCTCTTACTAAAAAAAAAGTAATCACTAACACTACAATAATGCTTTTACTTCTAAACAACTAACGGTGACTAATGCTCATTAACCAGTGCACAAAGGTACTGCACGTTTTGTTGCAAAAGTGAAAACTAGATGAAAATGCTTTGTTATGAACTAAGATACATACAGTGAGAGTGTAAATCTCAAATGCTTTAGGTAACAAAGAGATTTAAACCTAAAAAACACAAAAGAAACGGAAGGGTTCTTTGATAATTTTCCCTTAACAGGAGATTTAAGATGATCTAAAAGTGTTTCTCATTATTGTGAAACCAGCTACTCAGGAAGAAAGATGCAATAGGATCTGGAAGATGAAAGCACATGTTTTAGCCTGTTAAAGGGCCAATATCTTCTACATTGGAGAGTCACTTACCTCACTTGGGGGAAGGGGAGGTGTCTACAGAGGTGGAAGATGTGACGCTAATATACCTTTATTGATAATAAAGGCACACTGTTCAGTAAGCTTTTACGGACAGTCCCAACATAAATAGAAAGACACAAGCTCAAAATGAGAATTAGCAAGTAATTTAATTGAGTGGCAAAGTAGATCAATATAGAATTGCTAATTCTTTTAGTTAATTACTCCTTTAAGGCTGATTCATTGCTAAGTAAAATTAATTTTTCTACATATTAAAAGAGTATTTTGTAATTTGTTCAAATAAATGACATAAGGAT